CAATCAGATGAATGGTTTAGGAAGGATTGGATACATATGTACATACAAATAAACATTTTTATTTATATAGATTGTAGAAGTATAGGTAGGTACATGAATCATATTACCAATATTGAAACTTTCATTCATGCCATGTTTATGGGTTTTTGTGACGGTCACTAATGTATTTGTCAGATAGAGTTTCCAAATTATATTTTAGTATCGTCGTCTTTTGTTATTATTTCCGGGACGACATGAGATGGGTTATAAATAAATAGTTTATTATTTATCCGAAGGCTTAGATATCTTGTGCTTAATATTTTCAACAAAAAAGATATAATATATATTTGATCGTTTGTTTGTTTTCATTTTGACAATTGGTTGTTTTCATTTACTATACATACCTCATCAAATATCGAAAATATGTGATTAGGTATGTATAGAAAATGAAAACAACCAATCGTTTAGTTTTTACTTTTTAGTGCTCTTTTTGAAGTCGGTTTTTATTTTTTTGTTAAAAAGTTTTTATTTTTCCCTTTTTAGTGTAGACAGTAGTAGCAAAGTAAGAAGAAAGTATTTTGATAAAAAAATCGCTTAAACCGTTGAAGTTACTTCAATGCCAATTTTTATACGAAGACTTGCAAAATAAAATTTGCTTTTATTTCTAAAATCCGATTCTAAAATGTTAGGCTTGTCAAATCAAACAAAATAAGCCCAAACTCAAAGTATCTACTATTAGGCGTTGAAGAATTCCACCTATCCACCTTCTGGTCTTACCGTCAGATCAGGTCAACGATACCGAACCACTGCACTGTCAACGAAAATAGAAACACTCGTAAAGTTTCAAGTCAAAATGACAATTAAAAGTAGGTTAAATTCATCATTAGCTATTTTTCCATCCTTAGGGGTGGTATTTTTTTAATTTAAATGGAACCAATCTGGAAGTATACACTTTTAAACAAAACAAAAATTGTCCAAATTGGTTAATAAATTATGGAGTTCTGAGGTAACAGACATAAAAAAAAACATACAGTCGAATTGAGAACTTCCTTCTTTTTGAGGAAGTCGGTTGAAAATAAAACGAGATCACCCCTATATATTTTATCCGCTTGAGATGTAGACGTGGGAACTTTGCATGTTTCACGAATTTGACGAGGGAAGTAACACAAACTAAGGCTATTTTAAGGCGCATTTACTCAGAGAGAGTTTCTTGAACGATTTGTGACTGTAAAGTAGAATTTTCAGCATATGAGTTACTTAGGTAATGAAAGTGATCTCTAAGGGAGGACTTATTCGAAGTTTAATAGAGAGAAGATTTAAATGAGGAATGGAAGTTTATAAAGAAGTACGTGACGTGAAGTATAAATATTTTATATGGTTCGTCCCTAGTTACGTTTCCCGCAGAAAAAGGAATCCTATATATTGACATACCTACAGATTCGACCAAGAATTTATGTATAGATAAAGGACAGCTTACAGGGCTCTGCTATCTATTTTATATACTTTCGATATTAGTACAAGAATCTTCGAGGTCATAGGCTTTCTGCGTGTAAACGCATCTCATATTATCTGAGTCGAGAGCAAACAATCTAGCCTCTTAATTATGATACGCACCTAAACTCCCGTAAAACTCACAAACGGCTTTGTTTAGCAAAATTACAATATAGTAATAATTTCACAAAATAAACAAAGTTATAATAGAATTATAAATTAATAGAAATTAAAACAATAACTTCGCAAGCATAATTCAACAGGTGAAGAGTACTATTTATCCTTATATTATGAGTAATTTTTAATAATTAATTAGTATACAAATGATAGCACAAAGGTTTCGAATGTAACTTTTCGTTAGCCTTCAGTTTTACATATGGATATAGTAAAATTGTACCTTTAATTCCATCTCCATTTAATGATTCATAGATATAGTATTATTATATACAACACTAGCAGAACCTGCGACTTCGCCCGCGTTCAATCTACAAAAAAACCTCTTTTGTTTTATGTTATACCTACTAGCGACTCACCCTCGCTTGGCTCGGGTTCGTCCCTAGGTTGATTCCCGGTAAGGGATGATTCCCGGGACAAAAAGTATCCTATGTCCTTCCTAGCGTTTCAAACTATCTTCTTACCAAATTTCATCTAAATCGGTTCTGTAGATCCAGAGATTACCCCCTACAATGTCACAAACTCACAAATTTTACCTCTTTATAATATTATTAGCGACCAAAAGACTGTGACCAAAAATAAAATATGTAAATCCGCGAATAAATGCGAAGACATAGTTTTATTTAAAATTATCAAGTCACCGTCGCTTCGCTCGGGTTTCTCCCTAGGTTAATTCTCTATACAAACTTTCATCCCCATTTTCACCCTCTTAAGGGATGATTTCCAGGATAAAAAGTATCCTATATCCTTAACGTCACAAACTCACAATTCACAACGAAATACGAACTATTCTCATACCTAACAAATATACAAAAAAACATTAAAATCGGTCGAGCCGTTTAGGAGAAGTGCGACCATAAACACCGTGACACGAGATATGTATTTATATATTAGATGATATTATACACCCTCAATCCTCAATTAATATGTAACTCCAAGCAATTTAGACTGTAGAACGTGATAAAGTAATATATATATATATATATATATATATATATATATATATATATATATATGTATGCGTATATAATTAAGCATCCTCAGAAACTGATACCGTTTTCGTGTATACGAATGAAAAATAATTTTCTATTATAAATATAAAAATGTATACAGTACATAATATACTTCGACGATATTAATTTTTGTTATTATGTTAGAGCTTATTAAGCTTAAATCTAAGCGGAAGCAATAAAGCTTCCCCTTAATAGAAGCCCAGAAAGTTAATATTAAAATTTCATAATAACTTGTATAACTAATTTTGAAAAAAAATGTATATTACTATTAAATATGTATACTAATTTATAAACAATGTAAAACTAATCTTACTAATATTAAAAATGTGAATATTTAGATGTTTGGAGATGTTTGTTACTCGACTTACTATATAGGTACTTAATATATTTTATATCAAATTGTGATGTATTCAAATAGATCTAATTAGGTTTGCTTTTCCTTGGAATTGTAACGTATTTATACAATTATATTTCAGGCAAGTATTTACTTAGGTAGCAATCAATCATTTTTCTATGAAATTATTAATTGCCTATTTTTATGAAAATTTTATAGCTCTACAAATCTTTTTATATTTCATAACTTAAATAAAAGTTTAAAAAACGTATTTTAGCTTTACTAGCGATTTACCAGCGCTTCGCTCGGGTGTGTCCCTAAGCACGTTTTAATTTTTTTGAACGGTATCCAAAATCTTTTTCTAAAATAATAGTTACTTCATAAACATCAGTTATCAGCCTGTGAAAGTCTCGTCAAAATCAATTCAGCCATTTCGGACATTAGCCAGAATACACAAAAAATAATAATAATTGGGTTTTTCTGAGTATCGTATATAATTTCATATGCATTTAGAAAAAAAATTGACATTAAAAACAGACACTTCAATTTTATTAATTTGAATAGATTTTAATAAAGTGAATTATTGATGGTAAATAAAATATTTTGTAAAAGGAGAAAAACCTATATTTTCAACACAACGACAAAAATCAAAGTAAAGCAGTATAATAAGTGTAATCACTCAGGTGGAAGATGTTCACAGTCGTTTGAGTTTCATTCAAACTTTTAAGAATTACGTATATCATCTTACATTTCTATATTATGTTCATACAAGTGGAAGTGATTTAGGTGTCAAATTTTAGGAGTGGCATTTGTCAGGTCAAAAAATTTACCGTTTGAGTCTCGAGATGTACAACCCTCGCGCGCCTGCTATAATTTGCATGGAGCATTCGAGTACCTTTTGATGTGTGCCACCATGTGTATCATCAGCGCCATCACCATCTGACAGCTGCTGTCATCATCATCAGCGCTGAAGCAGTAGACCGGACGCAGAGCTCCAGCAAGGTATGCGTTCTTTCTACATTTACAGAGTCCACTTTTTTACTCCTTACTTGTATCAGTCCTATCGGTATTAAACATATATTGTTTATATCGACTCCCTACATTCATAAGATTTGTGGTTACAAGCTTTGGTCTTATCAAGTTAAAAGTTTTCGTATGTATTAATATTTTTACTATAAAGCAAACTAAAGAATATTTTCAAACATCTTTCTTGTGAGATCGTCTTTAATATTATCTGACTTCAAAAGGACGAGGTAATTTCGTTATATGATTTTTTGAGTATATTATGCAATGTCGTTATCATTTGTGAACCGATACTTTAAGGATCTTATATTTTGAGCTGCAAGGAACCAAGAAACTGCTAGGGATTTTTTATACTAGCGACTCACCCTTGCTTCGCTCGGGTCCGTTCCTAGCTTGATTCCCCATGCAAACTTTCATCCCCATTTTCACATCCTTAAGAGATGATTTCCGGGATAAAAAGTATCCTATGTCTTTCCCAGAGTCTCAAACTATCTCCTTACTAAATTTCAGCTAAATCGGTTCAGTAGATCTAGAGATTACCCCCTACAACGTCACAAACTCACAATCTCACAAACTTTACCTCTTTATAATATTAGTATAGACAAGTACGAACCCTAAACATGTATCAATTATTGTATATGTTCAAATCATATTCAACTATCAATCTTTGAACATTATGATAATAACACGATTTATAGGCTTGGTTTGCTTACAAAAGATCATACTGATGGTTTGGGGTGCGTACATAGAACATAAAATAATGAATTTACGATCTCACTCCCGTGCTTGCGTCACGTTATGCAAATTTTATAGCACAATTCTTTATTTTGTAATTTTTAACCCTCAGTCATTTGTTGCCAGCTATAAATATTCATACACCTTCAATCTTTATAGTATGACATAGAAAATTTTCCATGGTTTTCTTTAAGTTATGCGCGTTCAAACAAACAATAAAACATTGTTGTTGTTGAAAAAATTGTTAAGAAATGTTGGGGCCTACTGAGTTGGGAAGCTCGGGAGCTGGGAAGTTACTAGTGTGGAAGCGTCGTGCTGCAAAGCACGTGCTTTTAAAGCCATTGGTCCTAGGTCTGAGCAGCTTACACCGTGAATGTCGAAAGATACTTCGAAAATCGTCCGTCCTGGACGAACAGATACTGGAAAAAGGAATAAATTCTGAGAGTGAAAGGAGTAGAGAGTGGGCTATAATATCTCCTGCACACATGGCTAGCCTCAATGAGATTGGCCGCTGAAACCAAAATTGGCTAGGAGGTCCTTGTGATAAATAAACAAATAAATAAATTGACTATAAATTTTTCTCATTAATAATAAAATAACGAATCATCCATTTTTAACGAGTAATTTCACGATGTAACTATGTATGAGGTGACCTCAAAACTTTTTTATTCTCATATCAGCCTTCTGGCAATTGCTTATTATACCTTACAACTACCTAACAAGAATAGCACCTTGGTCAAACGTTTTTACTTAACACGAGACAGACAGTCAAGGTTTCATGAGTGTTCCATTTTTAGTTGAGTAGGTACAGACTATTAGAACACAGTATTCCAAATATAAAACTGCAATAGCGTACTAGTTAAGTAAATAATCTATATAATCTGTCCGTTTAAAGTAAAATATCTTTTCATCGTCCAACAAATCGTGTAAGTTGGCTTTGCGCCTAATGTTTTCTTCAATCTGAAAATGTTCCAGTTGAAGATGTAGGTAGTAAGCTTTATAACGTCCTCAAGCAATGCGATGCGACTTGGTTTAAATAAGAAAAAATTGTGTGTTTTACTTTTTACTATGTGAATGAAGAACACTAATCTACTAATATTTTATCATTTTTTATAATATTTTTTTTATTTTTGATATTTAGCTATCTAGTAGTGACATCAATAAAATTTAATTATTTTTCCTTTTGTAATAAAATCTTCAGGTCTCGTGTCTACCATGAACGGGTACATTCAAAATGAATCTGCCAAATGAACTGAATTAATTTTTTTAACATATTAATTATTTTTACTTATCAAAAAAAATACAAAGTAGGTACTATAGTAAAATTATTAATCTAACTCTAAAACTATTACAATTTTTTACAAGCTAAGACACAGTCCTTGTACACGCGATGAAGAAACATTATTTTCAGAACAATAAGCGCCACATGTTTGACACAATGAACTCTAGTTGATTTTTTTAATAACTTTATCTATTAGTTTAAATACATATTTATTTATTCACAAAGAATCACTACGTCCAAAAATATAATCATGTTCCAAAACATTTATCCACCGTTAGTAACCGCGCTCATGCGTTCTCTGCGCGTTAATTCCACGTCACAAAGGCTTTTATTATTTTTTTGTTAACTTAATTCGTTTTTGAGACACGATTTTTTTTCTGACCGAAACCGAGCGAAAAACGACTGCATTTTTCAAATTTTTTCGACGGACGGATCGAAGGACAAACAAACAAATTTCACATTTATAATATTAGTATGGAACGTCCATAAAAAATACTGAAATCGCGATTAAAAAATGAGGGGTGAGGGTAAAAGGGTGAGAAATACTTTACGGCCTATTCTTGTACCTACCAAATATATGAAAAATAAATCATTAAAATCGGTTGAGCCGTTTCGGAGAGTGCGACCACAAACAGCGTGACACGAGATATTTATATATTAGACTAGCATTGCTCGCGGCTCCGCCCGCATTCAGATGACAAAAAGCAAATTTTAGGTTTTACATATTAGTATACTCTTACAATGCAGTTTTTGTATTTTTTCTTAGAAATGAGATATTTTCCCGTGGTAAAAATTACCCTATATGTTGACCCGGATAACCAGCTATCATTATACCAAATTTCATCAAAATCCCTCCAGTGGTTTTTCTGTGATGCGGTAACAGACAGACAGACAGACAGACAAAAATTCTAAAAAGTATATATCGATAATAATGTCTATTTCAATTAGATTTTCCAAAAAATATTTAATGTACAGATTCGAATTAGTTACAATTTTATTATATGTATAGATATTGACAGGTAGCGTAACTTTTTGGAAAACACTAATAGATAGTAGTAGCCTCTGTGTCATCTAAATTGTGTCAGTATGAAAGAGTACCATTTTCATACATCATAATACACAAACAATTTTTGCATTCATGATAATAGAGTGATATGGTGAAATGTACGATAACCGATGAGAATAAGGTCATAATGCAAATGCATGTATGCAAATATACGAATGCATATATTATTCAAATCTCCATTTACGACAGTGTGTAATGGTCTAGTGGAGTTGTGTCTAAATCACCACTTGGGTTTGTGAGCTCGTTACTTACATATGTAGAGCGAATATTTTTATATAAATGGGATATTATAGTATATTTGTGTGTATGTTTGTTTTTTTTATTTATCTACAACGTATGTACGACTGTGACGTGCGATGTAATGTGGTTAATGTGAATTATAAATAACTAAATTAAAAAGTATTTTTTGCCATAAAAAAAGAGTAAAAAAGTTAACAGAATCATAAAAGCTTAAACTAACTTATGGCAATAATCCTAACTAATATGGCTTAAGGGTAATAATCCAGCTGATGCTGCTAAGACCAAAATCTCAAGCAGCGCTGATTTTCAGTTACACCCAACTCTCAAGGGTGTTGAGCGGGAGCAAGGCAAGAGGACTGTTCCTCCAGTTAACTTCTGTAGTAAAACGACACATGCTAGTTTGTAGTAAAACGACACATGCTAGTTGCCGACTGATTTATTTATATTATACCCACACCTTTATATCTTAATATTACTACATCTTCCCCTTCAATGAGAAAGTTATACTTATGAAAAATAGAAATATACAAAATAGCAAAAATCTACAATAACAAAAACAATGAAGTATTTTTTTTAATGTACTATATACCTATATTATTATTATTTTTAACAATATAAACCATATAAATCGTATACCTACACTGATAATGACAAAGCTAAATAAAATCTTTGTTTTTTCTAAAATCTTTTGCATCATACATACAATGTACATAATAAGTATTTTTGTAATTTCCTTTAATGCTACTACTTATGTATGTATATTAATAAATTTTATCGAGATATACAATATAAATATAACAACAAAAAAAATATATAATAAACATAGTAACAATCCATATTAGTACATATTATTCTCGTTTTTTAATAATAATTTAGCTTGCCTTCTTGTAATAGGCCCAAAAATATTTTTTGGAGGGCTACTACGTGCATGCTTAGAATCGCTATTCTGTTCTGAAATTAATTTACTTGTACAGCCCTCTTTAAATGGCTCACCTTTGCCTACTACGCTCGCTTTGTCCGAAGTTAACGCCGTGTCACCCGACTGTATGATGTCATGTTTTGCTTGTGCCCGTCTGCGCACTAGATGACGCCTATTTCGCCTATATTTACGTCCAGGAGTCAGAGAAAAAAAACCAACTAAAACAAAAAGCAATAAGAAATAAATAATAACGTTTTCTTGATCGATATCTGCCACGACGGCCAATCTCACTAGCCATGCACGAGCAGACAAGTGCACTCATATTCCTTTTACTCTTAGAGTCAGATGGGACGATACTTCGATTCGACCGGTCAGAGTTAAGGCGCAGGACCGACGGCTTTACGTGCTCTCCGAGGCACGGGATAAAACACCGCCAACTTCCCATCTCCAGGCTGTTACTGAAAATATCTTAACCGAAAAACTTAGTAATTAAAGTAGTCCCGACTCGGGAAGTGAACCCAGGACCTCCTGATATATAGCCGTATATGGTATTTACTAGACCGCCGAGGTAGTTTGTATGTATTATGTACATACGCCCTCACTACTCACTACTCACATAATATCATCAACGTACGATATTAGGCACGCGATTTTTATAGGACTCTAACTTTTATTAGGCATACAACAGTAAGTAAACACTCTACGTATGCCACTTTACATTTTAGCGATAAAGAGCGAGTCGCTCACAATAAATAAAATAATCGAACTTAATATTATTTTATAATATTAACCGCTAACTTATCTCTCATTTGACTAATATTATTATATTATTTGTTTGTTATTTTTATACTCTTAAACGGCTGGACCGATTTTGATCAGTACAGAGATAGATTATGATCTGGAGTAGCACATAGGCTATTGTGAGATAGCTAGAATGCACCGAGCGAAACGAGGTTCAGTCATCTCTATTTTTACAAAAATGTTAATTCAATACGGTTAGCCACTTTTTACTTTACAATATAGGTAAAAAAATGTACCTTGCATGGTTGTCAAAATGGATTTAACGTCGGAAGCCAGAACAAAATTTATTGTGATTTCAGACATTTACCATCTATTTTAATATTGAAAAATAGTTGAAACGAGAAAACTGTCAGAATTAATATTTTATGACGTTGTCATTTTAATAAGTTCGGAAAAGGGGGTCGATTTGATCCAAACCATCAGTTTTGTAGTTCAAAATTTTTTTCTTGTTAAATGTTAGATTATCGCATGATTAAATCTTAAACTAACCTGTTAGTAATAAATTTCAGACTCACCGTTTTGACATGTTCCATATGAAGCCACAATTGTATTTACCACTATCATATTCTCATAGAAAGAGTTGTTGGGCGTCTTACCAAAATGAAGCTTACGAAGTTTTAGCTCCATATTAATTGTTAAAATATCCATTGGGAACTGTAGATAACTAATAATACTGTAGATAACTAATAGACTAATAGCCTAGTAAGTCTACTCAAAAAGTTTAACAGTTAATTTTACCATCTACGTTCAGAATTTTACTCAGATCCGTTGAGTGTTTCAGCATCAAGAAGTAACGAAATTATGATATGAAAATAATTAATATGGTGTCGGAATAGTTTAACAGATATATCTATCAAGGTAAGTGCACATACAAAAAATGCTAATTAGATTTCGATGAGACTTTTTTCGCACGAATAAAAGACTTTTAAATGTTTTTTTAATATTTTTATTTAATTTAAGCAGTACCGTCTTAGTATAAAATATATGGACTAACGTAAAATTATCTAGTGTATAATAAATAACACGTTATGGTATGACAAATCGAGGTAAAATGCTGTTCGCAGTACTAAAAGTAACCCCATTACATAATTTTTGTGCTAAAAACTAGGCCTTCCACTTTGCTCCTGAGTATTCTCTTGAATATTGCCATGGTTGCCTCGGCTCTAAAATTCATATCATATGACTTTGCTAAAAAGATAGTTTG